ACCTGTGTGTGTGGATGGTCAAACTTGATACTGTACTATCTGTAACCTGTGTGTGTGGATGGTCAGACTTGATACTGTACTATCTGTAACCTGTGTGTATGGATGGTCAGACTGGATACTGTACTATCTGTAACCTGAGTGTATGGATGGTTAGTCTGGATACTGTACTATTTGTAACCTGTGTGTGTATGGATGGTCAGACTGGATACTGTACTATCTGTAACCTGTGTGTGTGGATGGTCAGACTTGATACTATACAATCTGTAACCTGTGTGTGTGGATGGTCAGACTTGATACTGTACTATCTGTAACCTGTGTGTGTGGATGGTCAGACTGGATACTATAATATCTGTAACCTGTGTGTATGGATGGTCAGACTTGATACTGTACTATCTGTAACCTGTGTGTGTGGATGGTCAGACTGGATACTATAATATCTGTAACCTGTGTGTGTGGATGGTCAGACTGGATACTATAATATCTGTAACCTGTGTGTGTGGATGGTCAGACTGGATACCGACTTTCCCTAATGTATTGACATAGGTTTAGTTTGAATAGTTACCATTTTCCTCAAGTGTAGGTATGTGATTCTAACTCATTTCTTAGACTCTACGACAAATAGTCTGGTTGTTAACTTGTGATATACATTATTTCATTAAAAGATTCCCTCCCTCCTCCAACAGAATCATGCAATGTCTAAATAAAGCAGATAAAAATACACAAAAGAAAAAATATGTAATAGGAAAACACCCTGATAATCAAAACTTAACCTATCAAAATACAATTAAAATAAGCAAAATAAGAAATATCCTACAGAAACTGTTTGAAAATATTTAAAGCTACCAGATTTGATTTTTAATATAAAAGTCTGTGAAACTTAATTTTAATTTAACATTGTAATATATAAGGTTAATTAAAATACATGGTATTCAGTCTCATCAGTAATATTCTGAAATAAATCTTATCTGGAGACAAGCATCTTTGTTTTTTTATTAAGAGTAACTAACAAAAATTTAAATTTTTGAAAATGTGATATTTACCACTTCCAGTTTTCTAAAGTTTAGTGTCCACAAACATTTTTTTCTTAAATAAAATTATTTATGTATAAATATGCCAGGTTAAATTGAAACAAAAACTTTGGGTATTAGTCTTTAAAGTTTATACGAGCATATTTTAATATGCAGGTAATGAATAGAGGTTTTTTAGTCTGCTTTATTCGTAAATAATAAATTCTTTGGGAAAAAAGGTTCTTGGAACAAAAGTACAAACAGAAAGTTTAGTATAATGGATAAATCCTAAAATTCCTTTTGTTTTAATATTAGGAACTCTTCTGCATTTAGAGAGCTGATAACTTGAGAAATAACACGCATCAAATTTTCACAATCTGTGTTTACTCAACTTAGAAAATATTGTATACCAAAGTCAGTGGAGTGCAAAGCTTAGGAAATTATGTAAACGGAAGTCAACAGAATGCAAAGCTTAGGGAATGTTTCATTCTGAATTCAACAGAGTGCATAGATTTTCTTTGCAAGAATAAACAATCATAACGATACTTGGCAAAAAAATTGAGTATTCATATGAAAATGATGATTCATTTAATTTAGAATCTAATGATCAAAGAAATCTCTTGAACTTACTTTGTTTATCTTTTATTTACTTAAACTTTCAAGTTGACTGTATTTCAAGTACTGCTTAAAATTTATCTTTTAAAATTGCATTAAAAAATTTATTCAACTGAGGAAAAACATCAGAAATGTTCTCAGAATCCTGAAATTATAGCTTAAAATACTTTGCACGTTAAGAAACTGAAGAAATTGAGATCATGTTATTATTACATAAATTCTGATGTTATCTGATTATGATTTAAATATCATGTGACATACAAATATTTTCTGAATTATAAATTGCAATATTTACATACTGAAAATACTTTTAATATTTCACAAGTGTTTTTAAGAACAATAAGCCCAAGTATTATATAAAATATAAATTGTTTCTTCAAACACTTATCTATAATTTCTCCAACCACTTTGGTATTTAGATATCTAAAGGTTTATACTAACTGAACTTAAAGAAAAGGAATTATAGTGAGCTATGGTTTACTTTATTATTATTTATAACTTTCTAACCAAACAGTTTACTGGGAAAATAATGTTACTGTTTTACTTATTTTTACCACATTTTATGACTATTGCTATAACTTCCTTCGAATGATCAAACTTCGTATTTTTACTTTCAGACAGAAATTAACAGTGTTTATCTTTTTGGCAATATGAACTTCTAATTCAATGTAAAAATTAGAGCACAAATGTTAGCACAATAAATCACAAACACAACTTATAATTAAACATAAACTGATTTCTTCTTATTTGAGTGAAAGGACAGCCAAAAATTTGAAGTAGTACCTTCATCATAACATATTATGGTTTTCTCTTTAATTAATTTATGACTCGTTTACAAAGTTTATGATTTCCTGAAATAGAAAGAAGAAAACATCAGGGAAAGTTAATGAACAGAAGTATTTTGTAAAATCAACAATTATAAGACATACATTTATTTAACAAGTTACAATCAGTTGGGAACTTTTGCATGAATACAGAAAAAAACAGGTCTGTTATTAAGCAGAGAGCTAGCTATACAATGGGCCCTCTATGCTGTACCCACCAAGGGTATCAAACTGGTTTTTAGCATTATAAGCCACTGGGATGAAAAAGAAAACAACATATGATTAAGAATGGCAGAATGGAATTTACTTAAACATTAACCCTCTCTTCACGAACATCATTTTCTGCACGTTGCAAGGTTTTAATAAGTTACATTCAATATTTAACTAAATTACTCTCATTTCATGGTATACCAATAAATATAGCATAAAAATGTAGTTAATAATCCATGTTTCAATAGTATACAAGTTTTAAGTTCTTATTTTTATAAGGCAATATTAAAAAACTACAACTAGAATTTTCCCTTGTGTGAGAATTGTGACATTTGCTCTCTAGGCATCCTCTCTTCTCTAATTTATTTACCACCCCACCAAGAAGTACAAAATTTAATGTAAATTACTCGTTATATCAACATAATCACTCAAGGAAAGCATAATATTCATAGCCTTCAATCTTACTTACTTACAGAGCCCTGAAATACAAAATCAGACTTCTATTGCCTTGCCCACCTGTCATATCCTTTTCTTTTCAGAAATTCCCAATAGTTCTCTCCGACGTTCAATACCATATTATGTATGAACAATAGAAAGTCAAGGTTTTAATCTATCAATTGACATGTTATATTACCTGGTTTTTCACTTTCAGTTCAAGACTGATTCCCATGGGGAACAAGCTTATGAGCTTAGATGAAGTTTTAATTGCTTTTGTCACATTTTGATAGTTATGGGACATTGTCTGGTTTTTGCACGTTATTATTCTGTGTTCTTTGGTGCATTATTTATTTACATAAAAAATTATTTAGTGCATTACTACCATTAATATAAAAAACTTGGGTTAAATTTCATCAACAATCGACATCAAGAAAAAAAGAAGAAGATTGGGTAAGTACTATATTTCTTGTATTTCATGTGTATTCTTTATTTATTTATTATTATAAAAGTACTTAAAATGTAAAAATATGAAACTTTTTTCACAAGGTATGCTCTCAAATAGTTCATGCGTAATGTAATTCAATAGTGTCACGTAAGCCGCACGTTCATCAAGTGATTTAAGACTTATAATGTCATAATAGTAGTTAGACAGGGTTCAAAGTGCAATAAAACAATAAGATTTAAGCTAATTCTTGGGCTACATTTTACCAACAAAAAAGTGGGATTGACCATACATCACATTATAATACCTCCACAATTGATAGGGTGAGGATGTTAAGTGTTGGTTTTCAATCTCAAGACTAGTTACAATTTGAATGCCATAATCAACAAGCCAAACCTCATATGTGGAATGAAACTTGAATATCTCAAATGAAATGCTCACCTTGGTCATGGTAAATTCTGGAATGCACAAATCCAAACAGATTGTTAAATGGTCACTATCTGGAATCTCTACGTACTTGGATGATAAGTTCACACTCAGGAGTTGCTGTAAACATAGAAAACAAATTCACAAGTTTGTTAATAACCTTCGATTGGCAGAAGTTTGGGTGTGGCAACTGTATGAAGTACCACACCTTTTTCAGCAATTAGGTAAAGTGTTCTCACATGAATGTAGTATCAGTAAATGATTCATAATTAAAATGTGTGTAAGCCTCCCCACACTGGTAACTAATTGCCAGTCCTTTTTAATAATTATTACATTCCCAACCAATGACTTGGATGATTTTTTAAGGATGTTTTGGAGGTGGATATCCAACATAAGTACATCTTTCTTGTTTTACATCAGAGCACCGAACAGATAGATACTTTTATACATTGTTGTCCAACATGCAGAACATAGCTGATATATGGTTTGCACAGGGTAATTGAAAAAAAATTTCAGGAAGAAACTATCACTTTCAAGGACCTAATTTATTGTTTTAAATACAACATGAACTCCCCCAAATTAAATAACTAATGTTTTATTATATTTTATAAAAAAAATGCAGTAACAGCTGTACAAAATGTTCTTAGCAATAACAGTAACAACTTTGCTATCGAGAAAAACATTTATTCAAGTAAAATAGAAAATAACACTATTAAACAAGGCATTAAAAGAATTCCGAAATGACCAAATATTACTGAACAAAGCATGAACAAGTTCATTTACAGTTCCCTAAGTATAGTTCAACTTTTCCCAACTTCACTTGAATCCTTTGGCAACAGGTGGGTCTAACTGCTCATGTCACAGTCTTCTAGCAATGTATTTTCAAAACTTTATTATTACTATATATCAATGAAATTGGGATCAACACGTTGCTTATATTTCAAATCTTAATATATATGTTTTAATTTCTTAATTCAAAAGAAAATAGAAATTAATTAATGCTAAATATCAATTTGTGTGAGTCACATAGCACCTCCTCATGTCTTGTTGCTCAGTTTATAATTTTTTAAGCCTACAATATAAGTCTACAGGTGGTTAACAAATTAGAAACATGAATTTTAGATACTGGCAAGCTAGAATATACATTTAGAACCTCCCACCACTTTGATTTGCTGAGAAATCAATGTATCTAGCAAATCAACAAGAGTGGCTCCTCCTCCCACTCCATTCTTCCCAAACCTCTTGTTTAGTTCCACCTACTTTTGTTAAGGGTCTGTTTATAACCAATAGAAAGGACAGGTTGTGCTTTACGTGATTCTGACAGTTGTTTGTAAAGAGCTTGGAAGAGAAAATAATAATTTTGCCAAGACTGTTGAATGGTGATGACCAAGTTGTTGCTCTGAACAGAGATAAAAAATTTTTTAGCACATATATACTTTATTTATAAACCCAAGAAAGTTACAGGTGTTTTGGGTGTACTAGTAGAGTAATGTAATATATTTGTTTCTTTCTTAAATGTATATTTGAAGCCTACAAAAAATTATATTTCTTCACCCTCCACTCGAGAAAAATAAACAAGGCTTAGCACTAAAGGCACACGAGGGCAAAATATTTTCCTATCATTGTAATTTATCGTAAGTACTAGAAATCATTGTTTTTCTATGTAGTTTTCATTTATTGTTTATGTTTTAAGAAAAATAATTAAAATTTAAGCATTTATGAGTAAATATATATGTAATGTATGGTACCCAAAATATTGGTAATTCAGTTGGATTTGTACTTTGTATTTAATTCTATATATATATTATAAATGATTATTATTTACTTCAAGGTAAGAGTCAGTAACAACTCAAGGTGTTCCACAACTGTAAGGGAACTTCTAAACTACACTTTAACTGCCACAGTAAGAATGTTTTCCAAAAAAAGACTAAACTTATAAGGCTTACGAAACTAAATGAGTGTGACAAGTAGTACCAAAACTAAAGTTTTTATTGGTTGACGAATAAGTGCTGAAAAGGGAAATAGGATTTTATAAGCATGTGTTCAAACAACATCTTTGTACACCTATGCTGCTAAATTCCAACCACACCAAAAGGATTACCAATATTCAAAGAATTGAAATATTTATTGTATTAGCACTGAACCAACATAAATGTTTTGACAGGTTCAAAGTGCAGTGTTGTTACTCTTGAAAAGTCTTGTTGTGAACACTGTAGGATACACACATAAGCCGATAAATTACACATCCTGTTGTCGTCATAAACGTTTTTACTGTGCAGGGATTACTCTGAATTTTCCAATAAAACATTTTAGCACATATAACCCGATACATTAGATATCCTGTTCTCGGAGCACGGGTTGAGTCGACTATCTTTTCGCGCATGCTTTGTTGCTTTCACGTACATCATATTAAGATGGTGTCACATGAACTGTCTACTGACACAAGCAGCAATTTATTGGTTTACTTTCAGCGAGGTTCTACTTTAGCCATTGACAGTAAAATAAATGTGAAATGTTTAGCAGTTCAAACTCATAAGAGAAATACTTTGAAACTTCATGACCAATAATAACGAAAAAAGGCACAGCTGCTCCTTGTATTTCTAATTTTACAACTTGTCTTTTCATTATAGTTTGGGGATTTGTCTACAGGCTGAAGACTCAAGTATATCATTACATAACTGATAAGATAGTTTTACTGAAAACAAATGTTTGAAATGTATTTGAGAAGTTTCAAGATTACACAAAAGAAATTTGAGATTTTTGGGATAAAGAATAGTATTTTTAATCATAACATGAAAATCCATTTGTGAAGATGCACATACTGAATTAAAAGCTATAGTACAAAAACGTAACTTGTACAAACATGTATATGAATTTGTGTGTATTATACCGAGCCTATTGTGAAAGGGTTAATAAAAAGTGATAAAGCCTTGCATGTTTTTCTCAAATACTCTGCTTTGGCTGGAGTGAAAAACTTCTCAAAGTGTAGTCAAAACCGAATAACATTTCCTTGACATACTTAAACTTGCCAACAAGTCAACTTGTTTCTGACTGACTGCTCAATGAACAGTTCTAACTTTACCTCAAGATACTTGTTAGATTGTCTATGAAATTTTGGGGGACCATTAAGCTATTATAAGACAAACGATTACAACTTTACCTCAAGATACTTGTTAAGTTGTCTATGAAGCTTTGAGGGACCATTAAGCTACTATAAGACAAACAATTACAACTTTACCTCAAGATACTTGTTAAATTGTCTATGAAGTTTTGAGGGACTATTAAGCTACTGTAAGACAACCTCAAGATACTTGTTAAATTGTCTATAAAGTTTTGGGGACTATTAAGTTACTGTAAGACAAACAATTATAACTTTACCTCAAGATACTTGTTAAATTGTCTATAAAGTTTTGGGGACTATTAAGCTACTGAAAGACAAACAATTATAACTTTACCTCAAGATACTTGTTAAATTGTCTATGAAGTTTTGAGGGACCATTAAGCTACTGTAAGACAAACAATTATAACTTTACCTCAAGATACTTGTTAAATTGTCTATAAAGTTTTGAAGGACTATTAAGCTACTGTAAGACAAACAATTATAACTTTACCTCAAGATACTTGTTAAATTGTCTATAAAGTTTTGAGGGACTATTAAGCTACTGTAAGACAAACAATTATAACTTTACCTCAAGATACTTATTAAATTGTCTATAAAGTTTTGGGGACTATTAAGCTACTATGAGACAAATAGTTCTAACTTTACCTCATGATACTCTTTAGATTGCCTATGAAATTCTGGGGAGTCGTACTGTGATACAGCAACTAGAAATCTGCAATGTTGAAGGTGTCTCGAAACTTCTTCTACCAAAAACATTGGACTGTTTCTTTGAACAGCATCTCTGCATAGATAACACACTTATTCCAACAATATTACAATAATATACATCTACTATGCCACTTCATGATGATACTAATAAGAATACCATAGTTCAGAACAATATCAAACAAAAATAATAACATAAATATTCATAACACTGAATATTAATAGTAGAGTAAAAACCATAATTATCATAAATATTATTATTCAATATAATACTTTTCTTACATACATCCCATCCAAGTGATTCATCATATAAAATACGTTACATTTTAAATATTACAAATGGTAAAAAATCTAAATATTCTGTAGCTATTTCATACCATAAAATAATGTGAAATGGATTTAGAGCGTGTGCTTTTTTCATTTCCTAGTTAACCCTTTTATAACTTCTTTATATACCATTCACTGCTGATGAGGTTCACATACAGTATTAAATTGATTGTCTTTTTTTTTCCCTTTCTCTCATGATATTCAATGTTAAAAAATAACCAAAAAATTGGTGTGAAATCACTAATTTTCTAGCAAAATACATACGAGGATCCATGCAGTAATTGTATGTATTAACTGCAACATTGAGGATATTTTGATTTTAAATTTTTGTGTGAATGGTTCATGTTTTTAGGAAGTACTTGTAACAAACAGTCACCCAATAGCAATTTAGTGCATATAGTTTAGAACATTTACTTTAAAAGTTTGACTTTTTGTGAAATTTATTACTTTAAGTCTGCAACAGTTTGATGTATTTTAGATAATTCTTCACACATAGAAAATAGAAAAGATAAGTTCATTTTTATGTTATTTTAAGAATAATGAACATCAAAGTTTGAAAACAAAATTATTAGGAGTCTTTTACTGTATTTTTGCTAGCAATATGACTTTTTTAATTATTTTTTTTTACATCAGTGAGGACATTTACCTTGTGATGGCCTTTCCCAATGTGTTATCTTACAGTGGCACTTTTTTTGCCATGGACTTGATGTCCTAATTTTGAGGATTGTAGTGTGTTCAAGAATAGTGTTCCTTAATCTAATTCTTTTTCAATAAGTAGCAAATTGCTAGTAGGAAAACCACATGAACACATGGAAGGATGGCAAATTATTAGCCCAATTATAATACAATTTTTCTTGTTTCTAATGTTTTTATCACTTTTCATTAAACATTCTTTTACCTTTGTGATGAAAGTGTTATTTAGGTATTTAACTGTATGACCATACATAATGCTATAATAGTTTGTGCAAATGTGCCCAGAATCATATGCACCTCAGAAACAGGTATAGTGTGCAATATAGGCCATGCCAACATTTATACAGGTGGGTGTAAAAACTGAACCAAAATGATAGCTCTTTCTATTACGTATTCTTTATTTTTAGTTTTTCTTATGTAAAAGAAAGCATTGTGATTTTATGAAACTTTAACTGTTATCAAAGTCATGTGAACACAGTCTTCAGAGTCCACCGAACTAAGGCAGAAGTCCACAAAATACAATTCATACACCTATTACAATACTTACATCCACCATGAAAGAAGGCAAGCCAGTTTCATTCGAACGTACCAAATTTTGTTACAATAACTTAACACTGTACCACAGGGATTTCCAGTATTTTTTACGTACTTACTCAGTAAAATTCCCCAGTTCTGCCCAAGTTGTCTTCATAATGGGATGCATATCAAAGACACCTGATACAAGTACAAAACCTACAAAAAACAACAAATAACTAAAAGTTATAATTTTCATATACTGAAAATGTATTTCCAATAGGTACTTACCTCTACTCACATAAATAGCTATTCTCGTTCAGTGATGCCTCTATATGCAGATTTTTTGTCTGCATGCCACAAGCCTTGAGCTCCCATATACCTTACAATCCACTGATTCAAATGTCTTGCATGCAAATCATCATGTGACAACCCTCCACCAATAAGTGCAACACAATTTCTTTATGCACGTGACTCCCTATATCTGATTCTACCTAACTATGGTAAGTACCTGTTGGAAATATATTTTCAAGTCTAGGAAAATTATAGATTCTGATACACTTGGATAAATAGCTAGTATCCCACACTGAATAGGTGGAGGGAATGGTGCAAGGAAAAAAACAAAGTAGCATTACTCAAAAGTGTCTGAAAAACACTCTAAAAGAATAGACCCTCATAGGAGAGGATTGTACATGGAAGACCACATCATCTGTACCAGGTATACTCTTCGCCTAGTTTGGAATTAGATGTTGCAAATATGGGCAGTAAAAAGGAAGGAGCACATCCATACAGGAGAGAACAATGGTGAGATAGGGATATGAACCACTATATAACAAATCTGAACCCCCATAGAGTACTGGAATGAATGAAAGTAAAAAGATATGCCCCTAGGTGTAGAGTGGGTAGGGTGTGACAGACCATACTTGGCAAGTCAACTGCATCCAACACCCAGGCCACCAGGATCCGACATCCACGCAGGGGTAGGATGAAGATCATACTGCTGATAAGTTAACTACAATCCAAAACCCAGGCAACCGGGAACTGACATCCATTTGGGGGTAGGAAAGAGGATCATACCATCTTCATCTCAAGTTCAGCAGATCGGAGGGAATCTCCTATCCTTGGATCTATGAACGGGCAATGATGGCAATGTGACAAATTGATTGACCGATCTGGGAACCCAACATACAGACAATCGGTATTGTAAAGATGTCTGTGTAATGTAAACTATCACACTTATAACAAATCCAACAGGAACCACCCATAGTGCAATAACATCCTCAGTATAATAAAATCATCGTGGGATAGTGTAAGAAATCTGCCAGGACCTTTATCGTGACCCACAACACAAATGGAGGAACAAGAGTATAACTGAGTGAGAAAACAGAGACACCTGTAATACATGTGTGAGGACTTATGTTGATTGGTTCAGCTCTCAATCCAAAACCCAGCCACTGGGAACCAACATCCATGTGGAGGTAGGTTGAGGGATCCAAATTGAAGGGGTGAACTGCAATTTTGATGGCTCACTCCAAAGCTACCACATCCCCTCATACAACCCCGTACAGAGATGGAGCATCAGATTGGAGGACATCTCATTATCTGCACCAGCAGAACACCACCGCCCTGTAGAGTTTATCATTATCACATTCAGGAGGATACCTCCATGGTCCAACACCCCAGTGACTTGGAAATGGAAAGTGGTAAAGACTCCCATACTCAACTGGAATAAAATAGGGGGGGGGATGCGGTGGAGAGTCCAGAGGAACGACAACACCAGAGACAGTGCAACGGGTGACCATGAAAACCCTATTTTCAAAAGCAGACCATACCTGATTTATTCAATACAAGGCATGACAAGGATGAGCAGCTATCCCCTTCTACTTTACCCATGAAGTCCATGGGTGAGTATGGTCCATGACAGGCATATTAATGAAGCCAATATGTTGGGAGGATAAACCTACAAGTGATCTTGTAGAACACTCCATCTCAACAGTGAGTGTGTTATGGCCATTGATATTAGAAATAAGCAGTCAACATGGCCTGACAGTGCAGATTTGATTATGAGTGGCATACCTGGTCAAATGCCACTCACCACAGAGTGGGATCCAGACAGTCAAAAAAGGGAAAAGCCATTGAAAAAGAAGAGACATAGGTAACTTAGCCAGTCACAATCTCACCAAAATCTTTAGGATGGCTACAGGCAGAATCGATAACCCGATAATGAAGATTTAGCAACCTGATGCAAATAGTGAGATATGAACATATGTGGAGTAGTCCGCATGCTTGATTGAAGAATTTCCTCCAAGGGATGACAGGAAAAGGTAAGATGCCTGATCTGATGAGAAGACACTGGAAACAAATTACAGGAAGAAGACAATCAGGAATAATAAGCCAATCAAATTAAAAACTGAACCCAATTGGTCAGGGTGGAAGGAGAAATGTCATGAACAGAGGATGTCTGCTAAGGAATGGATAGGCAGGAATGGGCACCATGGAAGGAAGCCTTGCAGGCAACATAACAATAAAGAGCACGAACAGGACATAGTAGCCTATCCAGATCCGACTGAGGATAAAGGTGGGAAATTGAAGGAAAGGAAATTGGTGAGAAAGAGGAATTACTCTTCTGAGCTGCTGAAGTTTTGGGAAGGAAAGGTCGATCCAGATAGAGGAGAGAGAATGTGGAAGGATATAGAGTATGTGAAACGTCGATGATAAATAAATCTGACTGATGACCTCCACAGGAGAAGGAAATAAGTCTTAAGGGATAAGTGAAAAATCGAGCATGAGGACAGCAGTTCAAACGAAGGCAAACTGAGGCAGTGAAGAACCATGTGAACATTCCAATCCGGAAGGATGGCATGTCGAGGTGGACAACTAATCTGGAAGGAATGCAACAAAAGGAAACAGTAGGAGAGGTAAAACTTTAAAGTACCTAGGAAAAACAAAAATTGTAGGATAAGGTAGCATGATAACCCATGATCAAGGAGACAGAAGACCCCTGATCAAAGAGTCAAGTGAGGAAATCCGTAATATGAGAAATAGTGAGTCTAGCTTGTGAAAATCCCTGACCTAATAACCAACGGCAAAAATTTTTAACTTACATTGATAAACATTTCTAGAGGAAAGGTAAATGGAACAAGCTAAAAAAGAAGCAACCTGCCTGGACAAATTGGACCTCCTCGTCAAGGACCGGATAATAAAAACCAGGCATGAAGACAGAGAGAATAAAGGGCTGAATGAAATGCCGAGGTTGACGTAGAAGGGATGGAGTAAGAGGAAAAGGTAATGGAGGAGCAGACTGGAGCTTGAACAGCCGTGGGAACTACGGTTGTGTTGGCCAGTAAGGAGCAATCAGAAAGACTTGGCATAGATGATCGAGATCACCCTGTGAATAAGACGGTTGGGAAGATAAACACACTGGTATTTGTTGATCTGATTTTGACTGAAAGCATCGACAGCCAGAGCAAGAGGATGAGGAACCGGGGACCAAAACAAAGGTAATTTGATATTGAGGGATGTGGCAAATGCATCCAGGTGAGGAGTACCTCACTGAAGACATAGCAACTGGAAAACAAGAGGATTGAGAGACCACTTGTCAGATAAACTTTTTCTGGACAGGAAATACAATTCTCAACAAGATTAAATGTATCCAGAACATGACGTGCAATGATACGAGTACCGAGTGTTGGGGCCCAAAAAAGGAGATCTAAGATCCAAATACAAAGGGAACGAAAATGAGTGCTGCCTTGGCTGCCACTACTGTAGAATTGATGGGATGGATCATGACCAGACGATTCCTGGCAAGATGAACATGAGACAAGGCTGTGTCCCTCCCAGGAGATCCCAACAACAGAGCAATCATATGTGTAAGGCTAGAACAGAAGAAGACAAACGTGCCAACGTGGAGGTAATGAGGTAGAGGCAATCATTCAAAAAATACTCAGGATCTCTGTGGATTGCCTCGGAAAAGAGGTGGATAGTAGACCAGTTACATAGGAGAGTTCATAGGGTAAGACAAAGGTGGAAAAATTGGGCATAGAATATACAAAAAGGATGATAAGGGTCCACCCACATGGGCAAATTGATTCTAACTAATGAGAATCGAGAATTGGACATTCAGCCTGATGGTAAACCAAGGCAAATTGATCCGAAGCCCATTGAGCACGAGGCATGCTGGCACCCTCTACCATCTGATAAACAAAATGCTCAGCATGAACCCTAATATCTGGGGAAGGGGTAAAACCAAATACTGAGAGGAGAAGGTATCATGTAACAAAGAAGGATGAGGATCATAAGAAATTGGCAAAATGTAAAAAATAAAACATACCTGAGAAATTATGTCTTAAAAGACCATATTAGGCATAGCTCATTCTGCAATAGGGGCATAGGAAAACATGACAAAATCAGATGGAAGAAAAAGGCTGTTCAGCATGTTCAGAAGCAATAGGGGCAAGTACAGTAGAAGCAGGTTGATTCATATGACTATCAATCTCACAGTGGACGATAGCCAATAAATTCAAAGATGAGTCTCCCCAACCTGTAGCTGTGTGAGCGTGCTAGTAGAAGATATGATTTCTGAACTTGAACTTTGGTATTCATTGTGAATAAATGAAAATCAAACATAAGTGTTTGATGAAAAAAAACATGAAAAACTAGGAAAATAGAAAATAATTTATCTGAAAAGTCATTAACTGTTGAAAAACAAAAAAAATCCACATTGGAATAATAACAAGAACGAAAATCAATAAAAGTTGAACAAATTTGAAGAGCACATCAAAAACGTCTTGAAAGAAGTACTGCTAAATGAGTGATAGTAGATAAGTTATAGTACAGTAGAACTGAATAGAAAGAGCCACATGCATCAAGAGTGTGTGTTGTTCCACTATTATTGGTGGAGAATTGTTGCATGATGATTTACATACGAGACACATTTGAATCAGTTTATTGTAAGGTACATGTGAGCTCAAGGCTTGTGGCATGCGAAAAAAAATTTTTTTTGCATATAGAGGGCATCACTGAATGAGGATAGCTATTTATGTAACATACCGTATCGTAAACCATTGTTATGGTGTGAATGCCTTTTACAAGCTGGCAAAACAAGATTATAGTTAAATATACTTGTCATAAAACATTATGTTAGACCTATTAGATGTTTTAACATTCATAATCTAGTTCATTAGGGATTTTCAAGATTTAGAAGTGTGAATTAATAGTATTTCAACCACATTATATCCATTGCCTACAACCGTGTTGCTCAATCCAGAGCTATTCAGACTGGCTGGGATACAATTGACACAGTATTGGTCAGAATATTATTTATATAAGCCAGTCGTTAAAACAACCGTTTTTGTGAGAATGCCTTTTACTTTAATTATACTTGTCATAATACATTCATTATGTTAGGCAGGGTTAAATCATGTAAGCTGAAATTTTTTTATAATTCTGCAAAGTGACAAAACAAAACTTCAATAACTTGCATTTCTTTTTACTCACCCATTTTCTCATATACTGTTAAAAACACAAACTATTTACATATTAGAATAATTTACATAAATCTCTAATTACTACTTTTCATCAGTTTTATTTATGTGTTAATAATGAACTGCTAGAAACTTTTGTGACCTCCCATGATTACAAAAATGTGCTTATATGGAGTTTGCAATGACGAATGGCTATGTAAAAAATATGATACTGTATGATTTAATAAATATAAATTTAAAAACTCTTTCTTAAACAATATTTGCTGACTTTTTTAAATGAAAACTAATTTTTACAATTGTAACTGCAATGCAAACACAATATGTTGATCAAAATTTCTTCCCATTTCTACTTTATAAATATCTAGAGCAGTAAAAGAAACAATATTTACAACATTTTAATGATATATATCTGGTTTTATAGTGCTAATTCTACTAGTAAAGGTAGTATAAATATGAACGTACAAAATAAAAAGTGCATAAAAACTGCTGATGTTGAAAACTAGGGTTTTAACACCCAGATAGCTATTGTTTTAAGGATAATGAAAATGATTTGCATAGTTGTTTTTTTAACAAACTCATTTCTTAACAAAAGTCACATCATAAAGAAATAATCATTTCAAAGCACTTTTCAAAAACCATAGAAATATTGGGATGATTTTTAGAAATTATACTAGAATTAAGTAAAAGTTCTTTCATGACTTTTAAGTAAGGATGCAATTATGATGATAAAAAATCAAAATGCTATTGCTTAAACATTTAATCTGCACATTCTATATTGTTTTTTGTAAATTGCCAGGTTTGGCCAAAAAAATTATCTTTTTCTTTACCTTTAATCCATTTTGCAAGGTCAGGATTGGTCATCAGGGGTGAAGATGCTGCCATGGCAGCAAGGTGGGCTCCAGCTGAGTGTCCAGCCACATAGATACCTCTAAAAAGAGCTACAACTAAACTTTATTGGTTTACAAGATTTATTATTAATGCTGTAAATGTAATTATTTGCTTCCATTTCATTACTTTTTTGTTCAGTTATACTTAAAATACAATAGTATGGATCAAGTCGTGAACTGTACTTAGTGGGAAATCTGAAAACACTTCAATTCTTTAAATACACTTAAAATACTTTAAATACAACGAACTTGTTGTTATGTATTTATTTTATTATGAATGTTGTTTAGATTAAGTTTATATTTAGAAATATACATAGCTTATACTGTTAGATAGGTATCGTGAAACTCCCACCTCTTCTCCAAAGTTGTAGAAGATTCTCGAGAGTAAGAATCAACAATATATCTATATACATAAATGCTTTAACCAGTATTGTTGCATAAGACTGAAATTTCTAGAACACCTCCACACAGGTATATATAAAACCAATGCAATGTGCCAAAAGGAGAGTGTCTATTATTAGTTCGCTATAATTGGTGTGCTATAAAACTTCAAAAGCTATAACTGTGATTGTTATAACGCTTATCAATCAGAAAACTTAAGATATTTGACCAGAAATTTATAAAATTTTGAACATTACAAATCATTTAATTTCAGTGGATTCTCATCGGACATTAGTAATTTTACTAAGACATATAAATTCATTGTGGAAAACCTAGTATGTGTGGCCAAGGACAAAGCTAGCTAGCTTCCCAGCAGATCGTATCTACATCAACTCGTAATTAACTCGCTCATCGTGAACTCTCGATAAGATATTAAGGAGGTTCCAGACTAGAAAAAAAGCTTTATATTGCTTGTAAGTTTGTGAAACTTCTGTTTATAAATCCTTGTTTGTAATAACTATCTGTAATAATTGTTATTGTATATTGTATTGTTCTGTATATTTAACGTATTTGTGTTAAAAAAGAAAACTGTGTGTATCAATCTTATTGGCAAATATTACAAACTGACTATATATCGCCATTTATTTAAATACTAAATTTAAATTATTTAACGCGGCTTTGGACAATTAAAAATTCTAATACGTAACACAGGTAAACTCAAATTTACTATTTATTTGCGTTTATACAATTGTGAATAGTGCCAAAACACAAATACTTTACACTAACTTAGGAACTAATAAACAAATAATCATTTGGTAAAAAACTTGTAATCACATTAACACTAAAAAAAAACAGCTTAAAGAATAGTTGCTTTGCTTTAGCAGCCCTCTACGAGCTTATGAAATATACAAAAAATGCATTTGGGAATATTTAAAAAATTACTTACAATTTTAAATTACTTTTATATAAATTAAAAAAATTGATGTCAGTTAAATTTAAAATCGATCATGCTTTCTATTATCTAATAAATGTAGTTCTAAAATTCATGTTTGAAGTGTTCTGATCTTGATAAGTATAACATTTGTTGATGTTCCAGATTTTTAAAAAGCAGCTCTTTGCTCACTGTCCACAAGAAAAAATTGTTATTCATTCTTATAAATCATAACATCACCCATGAGTTGTGTTAGAGAATCACTATTTCTTCACACTAAAAATGTTCTTGATTATTGTATACCATACTTTAATAGCATGATAATTTTTTTTAAATGACCACATTTGAAAAAAAAACTTTCTTCTAATAATGCAAGTATTAGTTTTAACAATTATGAAAAACAAGTTTTTAGTTAAATGTTGTCAGTAAAAAAAAAGTTTTCAATGAATAATTCAGAATGTCACACAAACCTTGTTATTAACATTGATTACATACTTTGTATCAGAAATTCTGATACTATACTTACTTCATGTAGTCCTGCAAGTAAACATTTTATACTAATATCAAAGTTATAAAATAATGTATATAAGACACTAATTAAAAAAAAAACATGCATTGGAGGGCACTGTAGATAAAGCATAGAATATATGTAATGTATGGCAGTTGTACTGGTGGTATAAATCTGAAACTTTTAGATTCCAACATTGTTCACAAGCAACGTTAATATTCACATTTTTGTAAGCTATATCTTTAATGCTATAATTTAAATGCCAATTAGAGAGAGTTATGGGTCTTAATGACAATAAGATCAGAAAATTTAATAAGATTGGCCTAGAATATTTAGAAAACTTTTAAGTAAGTGACGTAAAGTGTTCTAGCATATTCAAAGTGACATCATAAATATGAGATAGTTGTGAAATATATAGAATTTTCAATAAAAAGACTGAACCAGTTCAATGTATTATCTATTATGGTTACTTTGTGGAAATAAGGTGGTTTTTATATTACATTAGTCCTTGTACTGTTGAGTTTTAACATCATTTGTAATGCAGCCCTAACACAATTTATGACAGTACGCAAGTGTTCAAGCTTGTAAAAATATTAAAGGACGAAATAAAATAATTTGCTATTTTAATGTGGTCTGAATGTTGAATTACTTCACTCAGATAATTTTAAAAGGATCCATCCATGAAAGAACAATACAACACTTACATTAGTTGAATGTATCATATATGCTTCCTTACCTCGAACCTCGAGACTTTGCCATATCAATAACATGTGCTATAGCTCTACAGACATCTGCCACAATATCATCGAGGGTTGCTAATGGTGAAGACAGAACATTCAATTTATAACCAAATGAAATAGAATATTATGCTATGTAGTATCAAGTACAACGTTCTATAGGCACCTATACATTGGAAAAATGTTATCAATTCATATAATGCCCAACATTATGATGTGGCATCATAAAAAAGACAAACAACCTATTCTTGTTCCATAACTATATTCCCAATATTAATAAAGGAGCTATCTAAAAAATAATAAATTTTTGTCTCAAAATACCTGGTGATAATCTCATAAAAATAAACAATACTAGAAGTTACACTTTCCTAACAATATTTTTTGTTTAATCATTCAAAAAAGCCAGTCTTGACCACTGGTTGGAATGTTGGTGGTGACAGTTTTGTGGGTTGTAATCTTTGTTACTCAGTTAACTCTCTCAACATGGGATTGGTCAATTTGATTGACCATGTGACTTCTTTGTACTCATTTAAATTCTCTACATATTTAATACTTCCAACATCAAATAGTGTTTATATCTTCATAAAATTTGGCAGTCTTTCAGTTAATATTACAAGTCTTGTACATACAAAAAAAAATCATAGTTTTTAGTGAAGCATTTCTGATAAACTAAAATAAAGATTTGTCCATGAATATATTGATTATTTTTTTAATAGTCCTTGTGAAAAGTAATTTTCATATTAGAATTAAAAATACTTTTCTTCATCTCAAAAATCCCAAATTTCCTTTGTGTAATCCCTAAAACCACTTAAATACATTTCAAATGTTCGTTTTCAGTAAAACTTTATATTTTATCCGTTATTTTCTCTAACCTATCTCTAAATAAAATAAATCAATTTGACCGACCTCGTAAACACCAAAAAAAAAAAAATCTAAATTAATCTAAACTACCCTTTTTTCTTTCTAGAATGATTCAGATTGTAACATGCTTTGCACTCATAACAGTAAACAGCTATTTATAATTAAATTTTATTGTTTTATTGCCCTTTGAACTGTGTCTAACTACTATCCGTGTCATTATAAGTTGTAAATCACTCGGGGAAAGTGTAGCTCACATTACACTATCGAATCACATTACACACAAGCTACTACGAGCTGCTCGCATGCATGCCTCATGAAATATTTTTTATTATAATATTATCATTACTTACTTCACCTAATCTAATCTTAACTAACCTAAAAAGATCCCTATTTTTACATTTCAGTTACTTTTATAATAATAGATAAAGAATAAACAAGAAATAAAGTACGTATCCAATCTTCTTTTTTTCTTGCTGTCGATTGTTGATGAAACTCAACCCAAGTTTTTTTATACTAATGGTAGTAATGCACTAAATGTTTATTTAATTAAATAATACACCAAAGAACACAGAATAATAACATGCAAAAGTAGACAATTTCCCCTCTCAACATTTTTCTGGCTTTCTAACTATATGACAGGAGCTGTTACAAATTCATCCAAGCTAGTCGTTAACTTTCTCACGGTAACGAATCTTGTACTATGAGTGAAATTGATGCTTTTCTGTTCAGAACACAATGTTATACAATATGTCATTTATTAGATGAAAACCTTGACTTTCTGTTGGTTATAGGAAATATATAATTAAACATAAGAGAACTATTAACAAAGCTTGAAAGAGAGGATGTGTCAGGTAGGTGTGGCAGGAGGGGTTGTGATTTTCTATTTGATAGTTCTGTAACCAAACAAAATTGAAGGCTATAAAAATTATGGTTTGTCTGAGCAATGATGATATCATAGAGAGAAATTGATGTTTAATTTCATACATTTTGAAGGGGTGGTGGATAAAATAGAGAAGAGATGATGCCTAGAGAAAATGTGTTACGCGTGTAACACTAGTAAAAGTTCAGGATTTTAAAAAATATTTCCTTATAGGATTAAGTACTTAAAACTTATATACTATTAAAATGTGGATTATTAGCCAAGCATTTATGCCATATTAATTGGTATAATATGAACAAAAAGTAGTTTAATAAAATTTTGAATGTAAGACATGAAAACCTTGTGATATGCACAGTAAAGGATGCTCATCATGGAAGTGTTAATTAGACAAGCAATATATATCAGCCTTATTTGGAGTCATTAGTTTTAACAACCTACATTAGTAAAGTATTTCCTTATTTAAGAGTTTTAATAATTTATTTCCTGAGTTCTGATAAATGTCACTTGGTTAATTAAGCACTTTTTTCCCCATAAACCAATTAGTGCAATAACTGTTGGATACGAGATAGTTACTTCTCAGTGTACTCAACTTAACTTAACTTTCCTATCTGTTGTAATATTTTTGCCTTACCTTTAGGAGCAAGACTATAGCCTGGAACAATACACAACATTCCCGCATCAATGAAAGGTGGAACCACAAAACTTGTATCTTCTCGGCTGAGAATACCATTAGAACACCACAAATTAAACATTTTATACTGAGGTACAGATTAAGACAACTAAAGTCTTCTTAAATGTGAATACCACATTTTAACTCTTACACAGAACCATCATCCAAGACAAGATAGAAAATATATAATTTTAAGTACTTTATTTTTAAAGCAGAATTTGTAATGCAAGTTAAAAAACAACAACTGAATATTACCATACTCATATTCACCATTATCTTACACACACAAATTCCAGGCCATACCTACCAATGAGACATTTAGTAAATGATAAAAACAAATTTAAATACTACTCAAAAAGGGTATCCACATCATCTAATACATCATTATTTCATCCATAACAAAACTAATATTTGAAACTTCAATTATTCTTCATACATTTAGCTTGTTTTCCTCTTTGATGAGTGACGATTATGTGTGGCAGCATAAAATTTTATTTCAAATTGTTAAACAAACAAGATGTGATTTGTGTCTTTTATTAAAAAAATGTAAAACTTTTTATTTCTATTGTTTAAGAACCAAAAGATGCATTAACAAAGAGAAGTGTAATTTATTTAATAGTATTTACTAAACCATATTACGAGAAACTTACCGTCCCATAATCCATCCACCTCCGTGGATAATTACTAAAATAGGAGCATCTGAAATTAAGCAAAAAAAAAATTATAAGGGGATTATAGTGATCATTGCTATTTCATACAAATTCAGAAAACTTTATCTCAAATCTTGACAAGTTATCTGACTTAACACCTTTACACATATATAAGCCACAAGCAGTTAGCAATAAACCTGCTTAGAAAGTATGTAACATATATAAAACAATTCAAACTATTTTTTCATCCCTCAGATTTTGTGCAAGTATTTTACAGTGAACATAATCCTGCTAAAACAGTCAATTGAAAAACAGTGTTTGGTGACAATTACTATTACTAATTAAAGTATCCAAAATATAAAGTTTAAGATATTTCTGATGTTCTACTGTAAACTTTATACTTCTGCATCTAATGCAGATGTGAATCACTTTTATGGGTAAGCAGAAAAAAAAAACTCCTCTAGTTAATATAATAAATATACAGAATTTAATCATAGTTAATAAACTTCCACATAAAATTTGTGGGGTTTTTTAAATCTGCTTTTATACGAGTTATCAAACTTTGTCTAAACATTACTATTCCCGCCCCACCTGCAGGAACTTTATCTGCTCCAAATATATCAAGCTTTTCTCGTTGATTAAGTCCATAACTAATCCCTAATTGACAAGGAATCTCTTGCTTCAACTTTTCACTTGCTAGAAAAACAAGAAAATATTAATATTAAACAAAATTGTGCCTAGTCAGCATACTTCCAAGTAACCTTAATTATACAGCATTTTGTAAAAATTTAATTTGTCAGTTAGTATGTGCTAAATATTGCTATTTCACTGTTGTGTTTCTATACTACAGAAAGTTACAAATATAAAATTTTCTTGCCACTACTGCTGTTTAAGTTCGTTGTATATATTAAACTATTTAAGGTGTTATTTCATACACAGTTTTACCCTAATTAATTATAAGGTGTTATTTCATACACAGTTTTACCCTAATTAATTATAATTATAAGGTGTTATTTCATACACAGTTTTGCCCTAATTAATTATAATTATAAGGTGTTATTTCATACACAGTTTTACCCTAATTAATTATAACTGAATAATGCTCCTACAATCTGCCAGTAAACTTTTGTAATAAATTTTACACCCTACTACAAATGGATTAAATATAGTTTCATATCTTTTTAATGAAGATTATTTGAGTCTTTTTTTTTATCAATACTTTTAAAAATATTTTGTCAGTTATTTTCGCAAGAACAAATTTTGATTTTAACCGATTCCTGTCAAACTTCCCAAAAAAATCAACGGCTACTGAAAGGGGCTTTCATTAGGTGTTAGGTAAGTCACTCACGTCCTTTGATTAATTATCTACCTGGCTATTTTGATTTTGTACATGCCATTTCTATCAGCTTTTTAATCCTGAAGGAATTTAATCAACAGAATCACTCTAACTACAATGCGTGTGAGTCTCTCTTTGCCTTAAAAAAAGTTGTTCACAAACAATTTCAAATATAGTTGAGTTAGTGAGAAGCAAGGAACATGTAACATACAACATAAGACTATCATATGGATAACAATTTTTAACCAAGATCCACAATGAAAAGCCCATGGATAACAATTACTACTCAAAGTCCACAATGCCAAAAACCCATGGATAACAATTACTACTCAAAGTCCACAATGCCAAAAACCCATGAATAACAATTTTTAACCAAGATCACAGTGAAAAACCCATGGATAACAATTACTACTCAAAGTCCACAATGCCAAAAACCCATGAATAACAATTTTTAACCAAGATCATAGTGAAAAACCCATGAATAACAATTACTACTCAAGGTCCACAATGACAAAACCCCATGGATAACAATTTCCACAATGAAGAAACCCATGAATAACAATTTTTAACCAAGATCCACAGTGAAAAACCCATGGATAACAATTTTTAACCAAGATCCACAGTGAAAAACCCATAGATAACAATTTCCACAATGATAAAAACCCTTGGAAAGAAAAAAACATCTAAAAAACACGGACATTTCTGGATAAAAATATTATTTCTGAACCTTAACTGATATCGTTAGGTTAATAATTGCTTACATTTAAGTCAGTAACGAATACAAAGAAACCAAAAATTATCTTACAAAACACCACTTTACAAATGTCAATGCAAATTGATATTTCTCTGATAAGAAAATTCCTAAAACAATAACCTTGGCTATATAATATGTTATCTTGATATAACAAGGTCTTAGTAATAATTACTTTTATTAAATATACTTTATGTAGCAAAGCTTTAGTGATAATTATGTCACATTGATAGAATGATTCTTTCATGTTTGTTTTTGAATTTTGTACAAAGCTATATGATGGCTATCTGCATTAGCTGTCCATAATTTAGCAATGGTAGACTACAGAGAAGACAACCAGTCAACATCTACCACGGCCAACTCTTGGACTACTCTTCTACCAACGAATAGTAAAATTGACCATCACTTTATAACACCCCCACAGCTGAAAGGTCAAGCATGTTCAGTGACAAGGATTCGGACCCACGACTCTTAGATTGCGAGTTGAGTGCCCTAACCACCAGACCATGCCAGGCCTGATTCTTTCATAAAACAATTGGTAATTGTACAGGAATAAGATAAAAATGGTTAAGCTAACTAAAGTATTTGATATTTTTCCTACATTCCCAATAAATTACAAACCTTTGTTTTGAAAAAAAGACAGAAAATATATTTTGGAAACAAATATGGGCTCTCCAAGTTAGTTTTCTATAAACGTGTTTTTAGTTGTTAAAAATCACATACTTTGCCATCACAGCTATATTGACTTACTAACTACTAAAGTATTAAAAAAAAACTCATAGACAAACATATTGCATCAAAATATATTTTGGAAACAAATATGGGCTCTCCAAGTTAGTTTTCTATAAACGTGTTTTTAGTTGTTAAAAATCACATACTTTGCCATCACAGCTATATTGACGTACTAACTACTAAAGTATTAAAACAAAGCTCATAGACAAACATATTGCATCAAACTGCTCATCTGAGAAAATCATAGCAGTATATTAACAGCATTTAAATGGTGAAAAGCATGGAATTATTTCTACAGTAACCAGAAGAACTGCAAATTCACGAACTAATTCATTACAATTCATTTTAATTTTTTGCAATAGTCCAGCCTTTATATGTTGTCAATTTCAAACCTCTTTTCATTGCAAGTAAGTAAATACAAATTTTTTAAATTCCTATGAAAAAAAAAGATGCATATATACAGATAATTTGATAAATATTAAACCAAAACTGCTATACCTTTAGCTCCTTCACTGATAACAGTTAGCAGAGCTTTTTCTGGCGGATAACGATGAGACCATAAGTCTACAGAGTACTGCTTTTGGATCTCCTGATAATAATTAAATAAAAGATTTATATAGAAAATACTTAACATTAAGCAAAACACTAATAATAATATATTTATCAACAAAATTTTAATTTCCTAATAATTTCAGGCATAAATACACACACAAGTGTTTTTAGGTTGAGTACTTTAGCCTAATGTATACAACTGAAATCATTGTAGATTTCCAAAAATTTGTAATTATTTTGTACTTCAGAGATTTCTATATCATTCCTCATGTTTCTCACAAATGTTTAAAACTTCAAATACAAGGAAGTGTATGTTAAGTGTTAACTGGAAAAGGTTATACAGAGAAAGGTTTTCAAGGTTTTTGTTATTAGGATTGGGCAGAATATCCCAGAAAGAAAGGTGCTTGATTGAAAATTATCTAGAAGGATATAGACATTTTTTTCAGTGTAAAAATTTCTAGTCAGCACATAAATCTATTTATTGATCAATTATTTGTTCCAAATGGAGTTTTCTTAGAAAATTGACTATTTTATTGAAGAGCCTAAAAAAACTGTATTAATATTCAAGCTATTGAGTGGGGTCTAACGTTACTTCAGGAAGAAGCACATTCAATTCTAAAATTGACTGTTGAATGTATATTTACTAACCAATTATAACAATACGACTAGAATGAGCTATGAAGAACTTCAAGTTGCTAAGTCTTTGTCATCAGTTAGGAGTAAACTGAGTACCAGGTGTGTTTCAACTAATCTTGCAAGTCATAGAGTATATTTTAAATAGTTCCTATCTTCAAGAAGATAAGGCAATACTGCGAATCCTTGTCAGCAGTTAAAGAAGTGTTTTCACCTGCCAGGATTTTTGCTTTCATTCTATCTATTGACATGATTACAAAGGTAGCAGAGCAAATCCCTTACATTAATCCAGAGGTTGTTCCACGTAATGTGGCTGAACATTATACTGTGAATCCTTGTCAGCAGTTAAAGAAGTGTTTTCACCTGCCAGGATTTTTGCTTTCATTCTATCTATTGACATGATTACAAAGGTAGCAGAGCAAATCCCTTACATTAATCCAGAGGTTGTTCCACGTAATGTGGCTGAACATTAAACTAGGAAGTTGTATGGGGAAGAAAGATTAAGTAAAAATGATGTAAATGAAGACTATGACTTAGAGTGACACTACTGTGACTTGAAGACAGTGTCTGTTAATGGTTTAAATGCTACATCTTTGTTACTATTGCTCAGAAATACTAAACAAAATGAAAAAAAACTATGAGCTTAGAAAAAAACAAAACAATTATAGTTAAGCCTATAATTTGTAAGTTTATGTAAAAAAATATCCAAATTTGAAAATAAAATGATAGCAGAATATTTTCTGTAAAAATCAACATCTCCAGTAACAGTGGATTTATAAAAACACCATAAATGTAATTAACCTCATCTAAAGGCATGATTATTAGGTTGTAACTGTCTTTCAGTCTTGTTTGTCTTGCAGCTTCAGTGACACCTGGAATGAACAAAAAACAATCAGTCACGTGTATTTGGTTCTGTTTTAATAACTCCTAAGAAATTTTAAAAACTAGTAAATTATCTTGCTGGACTTATCAATCTAACATTCCATATTTTAATGGAATGAAAATGAATTACATCTTTACAAGTAATATATTTTCCTAAAAAGTGACACCATAAAAAAAGCAAAGGTTACTTTTTCTAAAAACAGAATAACTACAAAAACCTGAAACTTTAATCCTAGAATTATACAAAGACATCCTTTTCACAATAATATTATTATTACTAGTTTGAAAAAAAAAGAAAAAAAAGAGTTGTTTCCAGTATAAGGTTTAAAAGTAAGTTAGAACTATGTCAATCTACATTCATTTATATAACATATACACAATGGATCCTCTTTTTTTTTTTTATTAAAAGGCTGTAGTGGAATGATTAGGGTTTGATCCCCCCCCCTCATGCAACAATATTTTGAGAACAGTTTGAAATATTTTGCAATTTCTCATAAATGATATTTTTCATAGTATTACAAAAATTTGAATCATAACTTTAGTAATATGCAACTATAATCAATGGACTTTTATAAGCAAATTACATCGAAAATGTTAAGCTCAATTTTCATTTTAAGATTATTATTTTTGGTTACTTAAATTTATTACAGTATCAATCGAAACCAACTCTATTTATTCAATTATTTACAAGCTGCCCAGTGTCGGCTAACAATACGAATAATTAAATTGTGGCGAAATGCTACAAATTCTTCAAATACCTATAGAATGATACGCTTCTTTTTTGTGAGTAAATACACTAGTTAGATAAGTAAAAGTTAATTCTTATGATTCACATTTTCATACACTTTAAAACTTTCACACATAAATAAACGCAACTAGGGTAAATTTCTGAAAAAAAATTAAATAAGGTATAATTAATATTATTATTGGGTAATACCTTATAAATATAACAAAAAAACAATGGCGGATTTTAATTTCTGTCCGCGAAACTGTTATACTTTATAGACGCAAAAGTAAAGTAAAATAAACCGTGTTGTTTGAGTCCTGGTATTGAGTCTAAACTGGACTGTAAAATCGAGTCTAATTTAAAACAAGTTGGTTATTCTTCAATTTCAAAGTCCAAAATTCAGTAATCTGTTGACAGATCTGTACCGATACACTGGGCAATCAAAATAAATTTTGCAATATTTTCTTAAGAAATAAAATTTAGCAGATTCATTAAAATTAAATATCTAACGTTAATTATCTTTAGCAATAATAATTAATATACTTTAAAAACGTACGATATTCGTAATCTACTGACTACACTACAGTCCACCAGTACAATCTTTTTTTACAAACATATTAGTTACATCAGTAGCCCCCTCTTTACTTTAAATGATTGTTATTTAATTGTGAAAATGTAGTATTCAGTGAAAAAACAGGATTACTCAGTATAAGTGAAAATAGGTATAAAGTGTTAAAACTTCTTGATGAAACACCAAAATTAAATTAATATATGTTTAAAAATATTACATATTTAATTATACTTTCAGGAGTAAAAATGCTGTGATGAATAAATAGCGAAGCTATTCAATCAAGAAAAATGTATTTATCATACTTTAATTCTTTAAAAGGTGGAATTTCTGCAAACTGTCTAAGCCAGACAGAAGCAGCCTTCTGAATCAATATCAAACGAAAATATATGAAGACAAAATTAAAAAATAAATAAATGAGAAAGGATGGATGGTTCTTGATTAGAACATCAAGAATTAAAAATTTACTTTAAATTTTCAGAAGTTTTATTAAATATTACAAACTTTTAAAAATATTTTTTTAGTTTTTTTTGCCATTTTTTTCACGATAATATTGTTACGTCTCCGTTTGTTAATCATTTTTTCCGTAAATTCTTTCCAACCAAACTTTAACGACACAAGTCCTTACTTAATAAAACTGGTTTATTCTTTCTGAATATAACTTTATATTTCAACATTCGCGCTAAAACAAACTGTTACGACAGTGGGGGTCACGTGACGAGTATTCTAGAAGATTCGCTAGTGTGTTACGACAGCGGAAGTCAAGTGACGCTGGTAGCAAGTGTTGAGGGTTTTAGAAGTTTCTAGAACAGGCAGTATTATCGTATATAAGTGCGCTAGATAGTGAGAGAGAGACAGACGGGGAGGCCGAGACGGAGGCAGGGACGAGCAGAGACGAAGCAAGCAGAGAGAAAGAAAGACAGCGATTACGGTCGGCGGGAACTGAGGATAGCAGACACAGAGATCGGAACTATAGTTTGCGAGGACGGACAATTAAGTCTAAGCGCGATAGAAAGTGAGTGAATTGTTGTGAACTATAATGTGTGTAACTGTGAAAATTAAGTACATTACAAAGTTGTATTGAGGAAGAATAAACAAGTTTTATAATGAAAGGACTTGTATCTTAGAAGAATTAACAAACAAACATACAGAGACGTAACAAAAACGCTATAACAACGAACGTTAACTTCAACAATACTCCCTGACTGCAGATCAATTACTCACTACCTACACATTGTCACGTCACG